ACCTCCTGAACCACCTGTACCACCTGTACCTCCTGTACCTCCTGAACCACCTGTACCACCTGTACCTCCTGTACCTCCTGAACCACCTGTACCACCTGTACCCCCACCTCCTGTACCACCTGTACCTCCTGTAGCACCCGTACCTCCTGTACCACCTGTTCCTCCTGTACCACCTGTCCCACCTGTACCTCCTGTACCTCCTGTTCCTCCTGTACCTCCTGTACCACCTGTAACACCTGCACCTCCCGTAACACCTGTACCTCCTGTAACACCTGTAACACCTGCACCTTCTGTAACATCTGTACCACCTGTAACACGTGCACCTCCAGTAACACCTGTACCTCCTGTAAAACCTGTACCACTTGTAACACCTGCACCACCTGTACCACCTGTACCTCCTGAACCACCTGTTCATCCTGAACCACCTGTACCACCTGTACCTCCTGTACCTCCTGAACCACCTGTACCCCCATCTCCTGTACTACCTGTACCACCTGTATCTCCTGTACCACCCGTACCTCCTGTACCACCTGTCCCACCTGTACCTCCTGTACCACCTGTTCCACCTGTTCCTCCTGTACCAGCTGTTCCTCCTGTACCAGCTGTTCCTCCTGTACCACCTGTACCTCCTGTACCTCCTGTTCTTCCCGTACCTCCTGAACCATGTTTTCCTCCTTTGCCTCGTGTACCTCCTGAACCACCTGTTCCTCCTGTACCGCCTGTAACACCTGCACCTCCTGTAACACCTGTACCACCTGTAACACCTGCACCTCCTGTAACACCTGCACCTCCTGAACCACCTGTTCCTCCTGTACCACCTGTAACAGCTGCACCTCCTGTAACACCTGCACCTCCTGTAACACCTGTACCTCCACACCACAACAGTTCAGCAGAGGAAGATTCAGTGTGTCTGCAGTTTGCAAGTCAGCATGATTTACTTTCTGTTCTGACCCACAATCCTCTGCACAGCGGACAATACGTCACATTGACTGAGCCGCAGACAGATGATTGACAGCTGATTGACAGATGACTGACAGCTGACAACAGTCGAAATCGTAAATGGATTGTACTTGTGTCAGTCTGTCTCTTACCTTCGTCATCTGGGACACTGAGGGCGTCCGTCTCATCGGTGCAGCTGACGCTGTCTGCTGAACATGACTTGAGGAAATCCTGAGACGCTTCAGTCTGCTGAGGAGCTGAACACACACACACACACACACACACACACACACACACACACACACACACACTGTTACACACACAACCAGTAAACCTGACCAGTATAAACACACCCTGCATGTTAGCACTCAGTTCTCAGCTCAGCTGGTTTATTTTGTTGGCTGTTTATCTTTACTCACAGCACCTGATATTCTAACCAGAAACATCTTCAGATAACCAGTGAGCAGAGGCTCAGACTGGTGGTGACAACATCACATCTGATGTGAGCTGTGTTTCTACTACCACCTGACGACCCGACACACAGAGTTCGTTTTTTATCTTTAAACTCTGAACACAGTGAATTATAATAATCATATAAACACTGAACGGTCTTCAGTCTGATGGATCTGATTAATAAAGAATCAGAATCAGAGGATGAATTATTGAGTTCTGGCTGAAACATGTTTTGTAAGGTCACACTGACCTTTGACCACTAAATTCTAATCAGGTCATCATTGAGTCCACGTGGACATATGTGCCAAATTTGAATAAATTCCCTCAAGGTGTTCTTGAGATATGGCACTTACAAGAATAGATGGCCGGATAGACGGACAGAAAACCTGAAACATAACACGCCCACCTGCGGCTAATGGTGGCGTGGAGGCATGATAAAGTCACCTGCTGCGATCTGCACCAGTGGGTCGACCTCCATGATGAAGTCCTCCTTGAGACACAAGAAGCCGACGATGGAGAAGAGGTAGACGAGGATGAGGGCGAGCAGCGCCGTCAGCAGGATGGAGCGACCGTTACGGGTGACGCTCTTAATCACGTTAAACAGAGTCTCCTCCCGGTAGATCAGGTCAAACAGCTGGACACAGAGAGGGACAGGGGACAGAGGGACATGGGACAGAGGGACAGAGAGACAGATAATCATTCAGAGAGTTAGTGTTGGTTGGAGCTGTGTAAGAATGAGCTCAGTGTTGTTGTTGTTGTTGTTGTTGTTGTTGTTGTTGTTTACCAGGATGCTGTAGAAGAGCTCGTGGACAAACAGTCCCAGTGTGGACGTCAGAACGTACGCCAGGTGGTACAGGAACTCCACGTCCATCACCATGGCCTTGTATCCCATAATAAAGGTCCCGTTGTTTCCGACGAAGCTGACCACGAACACCACCTTATTGATCAGCTGGAAACAGGAAACACAGTCATGTGACTGACAGACAATAGAAGAAGAAACCTGAGGACGTCTTACAGAGGACACACAGCCTACACACAGTCTGATTAACACACTTTAAGAAAAGGCACAAATACAGGGAACCTTCAGCAGAGTCCTGCAGCGGGTCAGGTACCGACAGGTGACCCTCAAACAGCTGTGTCACAGGTACCAATATGTATTTATATATAAACTGAGCTCCAGGTGGGCAGCAGGTGAAAACGACAACATACTTTTTATTTTTCAGAATAAAACGCAGCACAAAGATGTGCAGTAATATTCTGACAGTTGCTTTTATTTTGAAAGTCAGTGACACCAGTGTAACCTTTGACCCCGTGGTCACATTGGACGTGGAGGACTCCAGCCATGACACTTTGCAGCCCGAGGATGAGGTGGCAGCCTACATGGAGTTCAGATCCTTTGGAGGTTTGATGGTGGTGGAAGGAGCATGCTAACATGTTTCCTAACCTGGCAGTGATTGAATGTTTCCAACATCCAGTCAAAGAGACGTCCAATTCAAGAATGGAGAACCAGCTTCATGTGAGGGACTGGAGCCTG